CCAAGTTTTTATCTTAACAACATTTGTTTTCCGACTATCACGTGACAGTAAAATCGATCCTACGCCCTGGCGTAGTCGGGATTTTGTAGAGTTCCTATCTATTATCCGTTTATCCATTTATCTATTGGATATCCAGATCTGAATTTATTCGGATTTCAATATTAAATGAATATTCAGGATTTTGACAATATTTCGGATTTTGACAAAAATTTTGGATTTTGGGATTTTGCCGACTGTCTTAATCCCATTCCCAAATTGCCGTAATGCCACTACTTAGCACTAATAAAAGTTGTGCAAATACAATTCAACTTGCTTTTCTATTGATTTTAGAATTTAAATAGACAAAGAATTGAAATAAAAATTTGTAATTATAATATTTTAATAAAATTCTATAAATTTTAACTTAGCCAAATTACCTCCCTCTACCTTGCATATTCTAAAATAATGACACCTGGTTTCTATGTATATAGTATGCTTATCAAGTTGATCAAGTAAAAATAAATAAATAAATATATATATATATATATATAAATGGACAGGCATAGTAAGATTTCAGACATATCGCTGTGAGACCATATGCAATCATTTTTTAAAAAAATGTCAAGATCTCCTCTATAACATCATCGGTAAAAGATTAATTTGGACCATATAGCCGGAAGCTATCTGCAAAGTCATTTTGTGGCACGAAATAATTTTAAATAGCAGTCTCGAAGATTAAAGCTATTATTATTCACTCGTCTTTTAATGTCATAACCCTTTATTATACTGTGTCTACTGTGTCTGCTGTGTCTGCTGTGTCTCACGACTCCAAATCTTGGAGCAAAGCTCACGAAATAATAAATATATGATATCGCTTATAATAACGATAAACTCTAGGATGCAATTCTCTACAATTGACACAATCGACACAGGCAGTTACAATAATTATAATTCCTAATGGTACAATTACGAAACCAGTTTGCGCTAGTCTGTAACTCAACAGAACTTCGAGATAAATGCGTTTGTGACTTCCGAATAAACATAAGGGGATGCGAAGGAGAAAATCTAATTCAAGACGCAAGCCTAATACTTGTACCCTACTTACTTGTTACATCTTTAATATCCGCAACATTTATTTTTAATCAAATAATTATAAAACGTAAATCAGTATTTTATCCTTCATCAAGAGAACGATGCTTTAAATGGATGAAGCCCGAAGATGCTTTTAACACTGTCGTGTGCGTTTATCATCTGACAGAGGCTGCTTGTTTATTATTGTTAATTAACGACAGTTATCCAAATTCGATATATGCAGAAGTATATTTTTTTTATCATATAAATACATATATATATATATATATTTATATATATATAATTTCTTTATATTGGTAGTTTTTTTGCTATCTTTCGAGGCTTATTGGTTATTCTTTAGCAGTGATTGTTCCAATTAGTTTAAGTAAGTTCACTAATATGATTAAATAACGCCGTTTAAACGCCCGGATATTGTATTTACCAAACAGCCGTTCTCCTTTGCAGTACATTCGACGCCTGAGTCTCAATTGTATGCTTTGAACTCTCGATGGAAGCAAAATAATTATCTTGATATTTTTGCATTCTGGTTAATGATCACACCATTTATAACGAATATACCATTGTCATTATTGACAGGCTATTATGCTGATAAGAACGAAGTCTCAATTGCGTCACGTATGTTAATGATAAATTCCATGGCTTGGTGTTTGTGGACTCTGCAATTCGTGGTTATTTTATTATATGCTTACTACAACTTGGTCTTTAACATGCGGGGCTATGTCGACCGAATGCGACGAAGGCACGATGATGAACACAGAGTGCAGAAACTACAAATTACCAGAAAAATCGTAAGGTCATTTCTATTTAATGTATTTAATGGCTCTATTTGTTTTTAATCACACGCTAAGGTCGAATTTTTATGTTAGCTTTCGTGGATCGTAAAATGTGGTGCGATCATATTCGCAATTCACTTTATGGAAACATTATCCTTTGGTCTCTTTTACAGATCCGTGATCATATACAAGAAAAATTTAAACATGTTATACTTCTTCCTTTGGCATTTTTTCATACCCATATTTGTGAACATTGTGCAATTGATATATATTTATTAGTATGTTTTATTTATTTATTTGTTGATTTTATACTGTATGATTAGTATAATTTTTATTTCTATTATTTTTTTGAGTGCGTATTTTCGAATATTAATCATATTAATCAATATTCTTAGTTACGTGAAACAACATATTTCTTTTGGAAAAAAATCACGACGTTCCTCTCCTGGCCGAAATAGAAATCAAATTTTTACCGAACCAACTTATGTAATAGAATCCATAGAATTGAATCAAATGACGAATGATCATGAAAATGCTCGCACACCAATCGTTGAAGCTATAAAACGCTTAACATCCTCCTCAAAAAATGGCACTGCTTGTTTAGTATCTATAGGCGGAACAACACTTGTATCTGAACAATTTGGATCTATAGATCAAACGTTCATAAAATCTGATAATAGTTCAAATTTACAAGATATTAGAGACAGTTATGCACAAGATAATAGAAGTGATTTATCTAGTAGTGTAATGAGGGCTTGGTTGGTAAAGAAACCGTTAAGATGCGATATAGCTAAAAGTTCACAAATGTAGCTAAAAGCTCACGTGACAATATGTTAATAATATTTTATGAATCTTAATTTTATTGCATAATCTCTCTCTTTTAATTCTTTTAAATTGAATTGCTTAATTATTATATTTGATTATATTTGATTATATTTGATTATATTTGATTATATTTGATAATCTCTTATATGCCACATGCCATAACATATTTAATATATATATATATAATTTTTATTTTATTTATTTATTTATTTTTTTACTTTTTATATTCTTTAACCATGTGCGTAAGTAATTCCTTTTTTCACTGAGCATGCCAGTTTTTAATATGGCTCTTTTTATAATATTGTCATTTTGGAATTCCGGTATATTTTCCATCAAACATCGGATGATCCTTAATTCATGCCTATGGACCGCGTATCCAAGAGGATTATAGCCGTTACAATCTTCGATGGTTGGATCGGCACCGTGTTGGAGAAGTTCTTTTAAAGTAGGAATAATAAATTCCTCGTGCTTAAGTTCCATAATGAAGTGTAACGAAGTCCAACCTTCATTATCTCTCTCATTTACATTAAACTTCATGCTATAAAGAAACCAATCAACTAGAGCAGGGAATTCTGTTGCTTCGAGGAAAACTGTCCGACCTTCATGTTGATCCTTAATATCAAGTCGGAATTTAAATTGCTCCAATAGGCTTAGTACAGTACCGAAAACGCCAAATTTGATTCTGTTTGGTTAATTTGTGTATAATTAATTCAGATTGGTTAAAAAAAATGTATTGATGGCTTTTTTTTTATATAGTAAACGTCAAAATTTTGAATTTTAAGCTGTAATAACTTTTAAAAAAATAAAAATATATTCTTACAGAATTGTAGCTCAGTTTAAAAGCAACAAATCTGTAAGACAGATTTTTTTTAAAGTTATTTTGGGCTTGAGTTATAACGATTTTTATATTTTATATAAATATTGGATATTTTTTGCTGCCCGGTACTGTGCTAATATGATCTTTTTTTACCGACAACTCTTGTACAGCTATTAAAGGTAACTGCAAAGCGAATGTTGATGTTTGATAGAAATAAAATTCTACAGATTCACTTGATAATATTGAGATATTATCAACAGATGTAGGAAATGGAGCTTACCAATCTTTAACTGCACTTTTATCAATTATTATTCCTACTTTTGTTAATAAAGAACCTCCAGTTATATCTTATAGTGACGTTATTAAATTAAAATTAGGTGGAAATGGACGTGAAGTTGGAAGATCAAATCATTATGTAATGTTTACAGTTTGTATCTTAAATGAAGAGAATAATGTACTTTATCCTGCAAAACAACACTGGTAATTATTAATTATTTATTTTTCGAATCTCTTATATATTATTAATTTAAACTTTTATTTATTATCCCTTAAACCATCTGGCGGGCAAATTTGCCCGCTTAAAATTTTTTTAACATGTTTTTTTAAAATTACTCAAAATTTTATTAAGAATAAGTCCCCCTATTACTAAGCTAAAATAAAAATTTAACATATTTTTAATTAATATTTATTTTTATTTTTTTATTTTTTTTTCCACTTAGGCCATCTTGCCTTTAGTCTCCTTTATTACTTTACTATTGTATGGTATTACAAAAGGCCTTAGCATAATATTTAGGAGTGGCATCCTGCAGTTACTTCGAGAGCACTTACAAG